GGTAGATTATTTGCACTTTTTAAAATGTTTGGACCTATAGTTACAATTCATTCTTTATTTTTCTTTTCTTTTGTTTTGTCCTATTTATATGAGAGGGTATATTGGTCATTTTATGTTAAAAAATTGTGAAAATGATGTTTTGCACCAAAAATGTGAAAGGTAAAGACGTTCTGCGCCAAAATACGAAAGACATGGACGTTTTCCACAAAACCAGTCATAGGTAGGGATGTTTTGCGCCAATTATCCTTACTTTACCAACCTATAATTTTATCAAAACAAGCTAAGCGTCACAATATGTTGAAGTAGGATTTTGTTGCCATCTCTTTTAATTGCGGATTGTCACGTTTAGCGATATATGAATTTTCTCTTTGTCTTCCAGCCGAACTTGAGATGCGAACATGCGGGTCAGTTTCAGAGTGGCTAACGTCACTCGTTTCGCCACTTGATTCTCCAATGTCGCACCATTCCCAAAATCCACATTTGTGACTGCAACATTTGAAAAATGTTCCTTTGTTTGCATTATCTCTTTCAACCTCTAAATACTTTTTAAAACCATTCTTACACCGTGGGCATTGGTGTCTTGTCGGGTATTCGGCAAAAAAAAATGGCCCTTTCGCCTGCAAATGTGGCAAACTCTCGAATTCTTTACGCACATTCTAAAAATGGAATCTAACAGAAAATACATCAAGTTAACTGAAATTCCGAAATTATGCTGATTCAATCGAAATGAGCTGAATTGGTATTGGCAAATTGCAAAGCTTCATGTCACAAATTCTATAGCCCAACAAAATAAGAAATCAGTTCCCTTCCTAATTTGTGAAAATGAAAACTATATAACAAATGACAAAGATTTCAAGTATACCAACAACGGGTGACTTTCAAAAAATCCAAAAATTGCATACATTACACGAGGCGGCGACGAGTTCGACTACTGTGAAGCCAAGGCCGGGTGTGTGGAGCCGGTCGAAAGAGAGGAGGGTAGGTTTTTGATTTTGGGAAAAATGGAGGAGAATTGACCGAAAATTTACTTCCCAAGGTTTGTATTTTGAGCATCCAAAAACAGTGGTAGCTTACA